GGAGAAAATTGTAAAGGACTGCCTAGGACAGAGTTTGATAGAGAATCCTGGTGGGCGGCCTATGCTCCTCCATGAGTGGCAGCATGCGCAAGTAAGTAATGTGAAACTTTGTTTTCACCACTATACTGTTTGGCATCTTATCAATATTTTTTTAGTACTCTAGTGAATTTATGATTTCTTGTGAACTATATTAGTTAAAAACTCTCGTATACTGATACTTATACGTAAAATGAGGATGATTTGGCTTAGTGATTGTCAAAATAATGGACAAAATCAAACACTGAAAAATGCATTTGCATGTTTAATATGACCTCGCAACTCAAATCAACGAGAATCTCACATTTCCATGACTATGTATACTACAAGATCAACTTCCTTCTCTCTAGAAAAATATGAAAAACTCGACCTTGAAAACCATTGAATTGACAGTTTTCACTGCTAGTTGACAAGTTGACTAATCTAAAATGATCTTCAGGTAGTTCCCTACATCATCCATACTTCGCTGTCAATGAATTTTAAGATCGAGTTAAAAACGTTCATCACCAATCATTTGGTTATATTTGATTTTATTTCATATTGAACCACTTGTCTACTCCCTTTTATTACCTTTCCACGCATTCGTTTACTTTTAGACTCATACAACAGCTAACCTATGGTGGAAACCCTGTTCTATCTAAAGGATCTGCACCTCAAGCCTGGACTCAGATTGATCACATTGCGATCAGCTACAGCTAGCGTGGTTGTATGCAAGACTTCCGCCCCTTTTCGAGTACCTATCCGGACTCTGATCATGCCTTGTTTGCGCTAATCTTACCTTACTTTTCAGTGGTCGACAAATTCATCTTCCTAAACGGATAAATGTCGGTAAATTGGTTGAAGCTTCTGTTGCAACTAAATATAAAAACAAGCTAGGTTCAAGGATAGCTAGTATCACAATGGAAAGTACAGATGAGCCTCGGCTGCAATTGTATGACGCTATGAAAGTGGTGAGTAGTGTCGCTTGTGGCTTTGCGAAACGTATCTCTTACAAGCACTTGGTTTCTACAGGCTTCTCACAACTCATTGAAGTTCATCTGTCCACTACGAGTAACCGCAGGTTTAACGATAAACGAAGAATGTCACGAAATGAAACTGGGCGAAGGACCGAGAAGCCTGGTGGTCGGAGCTCTCCAGAGTTAGAAGAAACAGCTGCATCTGGTAATTGCCACAAGCTCTTTCAACTCCTCTGAGTCACTGGCAGCAGGAATTTTGGTGTGAGTGAAACAATCTGTGAAGCTTAGGGTATGCCAATCAATAACATTTACCGACGTCCTGAACGATGGGTAGAGTTTTTCGAGGAAGAGTTCAAATGGTCTGTTGTCCCGGTGATATCGATCAGACAGTCCTGCTCTTCATGGACGGTGACAACTGATCCACCCAATGAGGTGGATGTCCACAAGGAACTCCAACTCTCAAAGCTTTACAAATCATCAGGTTCAGAAAACTTACCTCCATCGATAATTCTTCTGTCTTTATAAAAGGTTCACCTCATCTATGAAAAAACTATTGGGTGATAAGTCTACTTTCGATTGCGTCCAAACTATCAGCTTCCGTCATACTTCGTAGGTTGTAAAAAACCCAAGAAATATGGACTCTCGAGGAGTAGGCCGGTTTTCGTTCTGGTCGAGGATGCATTGATATCTTCATTCTCTGTAAAATGATAAAATACCGTCATACTTATCACAGGCTAACAATCGTAGTGTTCCTTGACATCTTGACGATATCAGAAATGGCTTTGAATAGAAGCCAGTGGCGATCCAGAGCGAAAGTAACTATCTTAACTGGACGAATTCTGTTTGGTTGTACTTTTCCTGACTGAAATAATTATCCCACTATTATTGTTATTATTATCTCACTCGCATACACTTATTGTGTTCATGGTTGCCTTTCATTTTTGTTATGTTGACTATTCTCTATTTCTTCACAACTTGATTTCTATTGTGCGGCGTATATATATTTGGTTTCCCCTCGTACCGATGTTTATGTGTACAAACAAATAGTACTCACAAGCACAGAGTATCTGTGAAGTTGAGATCTCTCGCATACCAAGAGTATCCATCACATAAAGCTAAGTAAAGAGAAATGCTGTTATTAGGTTATAAACTTAATTTTACTAGAAACTGACAGATACCACTGAGAAGCTAGTCTGTAAAATTATTTCAAGTAATCTAACTATTCAGGTTAAAATGAAAACTTCTTATTGCGCAAACATACAGTAGGTACAACAGAAAATGGCATACATGGATATTTTTCCAGTTCTACAAGCTTTGAAACCAAGAATGGGAAATATTAGGATTACAAAAAATTAAGGCTCAGATATTTGGAGTGTGGGACGAAAATAATGTTTCAGTGAACTTCTTACACACGTGAATCATACAATTTATGATCATCGATGCGTTCTTTCTTAGACTGTGATTTTGAGAATATTACTATATATCGACATAAGTATTATATATATCTAGTCAGGAATAGAATGTTTGGCAACAGAAGGTCGAGAGGATGACGTAGGAAAGAACAGGAACAGAAAGCAATTGGTATGGAAATACAGGAACAATTAAGTCTTAGACCATTAATGAACATTTTGCAAATGAAGTATTCACTGTTTTGTTGTCAGAGTTTACTAAGAAGTTTTGTAATACATCTGATTGTCCCTACTTGTGGTCTCGCTCACTGCACTATTCGTTAGATTGGTTGTGGGAAACGTACATTCAATTGTGAGGCAGCTGCTCACTGAAAACAATGCTGGACGGTCGCGCAATATCGTGGATCGGTTGAAGTTAACACCGTCGGATGCCGGCTCACTGGTCTGGAGGTTAAGCGTTTGCGTGCGAATCCAGAGGTCTCTGGTTCGAGTTCCCTGTGTGGGATAGTGGGTGTGAACTGCTGAGGAGTCCCGTACTAGAACGAGAAGGCTGTATAGTGCTTCCAGGTTTCTAATGGTTGTCTAACACTAATCCATTCATGATATCGATATAATCCAATGGATTGGAAATCCTCCAAATTAGCAACTCATTAGTTTGTGTTATTAATTTGTAGTTATATAATGATGGTGAACTCGTGTTTTTATCTTACTCAACCGATATTTTACACAATGATCTATGGAAGGTACCTGCAGTAACACGTTACAGATTTTCACTATCAACCGGAAGTAGCAAGTCAAATCTTCCCATGTTATTTTGACCTGTAAGAAATTATATCACAGTAACTTCTAATTTTACATTTTATGTGAATATCTAAGTTACTATCTTTGAAAGATAAACTAAGAATAACCCTAGATCTTTATTCGTGTTGTGAATAATTCTCAACACAGTGGTGAACTGTTCATAATAAATCATATGCTGTACTATTATGCAGACCATTAACCTCTTTTCAATCCGATGTACTATACAATCGATAATCTAAAGAACAAACTTTTACTATGTACTGAACAAAATTATAGCAGCTAGGAAATTGGTGTAGCTCAAGACAGCAGTGAGTAAGCTAATGAAATTCAGTGTTTTTATAAAAGAAACCATCATTCGCTTTGTATAGATGATCCATTAAATAACCGATTTGATTGAATGTAGGATTTCTGTTAGAGGTTTGTAAAAGAATGAGTATTAAGGGAAAAAAGTTCCATATTTTCGTAGAATAATGACAGTTATTCTGCAATGTTGAGAATTTTACCCAGAATTATCTACTCCTGTTGTAAACAAACTAGCATTAGTCAGAATCGGTGTACTATCCAATCTATCATTTGTCTTTATGTAATTAATTACATAAATCTTACTAATGCAATACTCATCGAAATTCATTTTCAGTGAGTAGCAAGATATTAGCTTGTAGAGTAACATCTTTTCCCCCTAATAGATTTGTTTAAATCTCCGTTCAAGATGAGTAGAACATAAGTCATTACAATGACAAGTTAGCTGCAAAGTTTAGTTATTTTAAAACATTCAGTTGCTGTATCTTTCAGAAAATATTTAAATAGGAGAAAAATAACTATACAAAGAAAAACTGTTGAGAATCATCATTTGAATGCAATCTTTTATACATTTTTACCTTATAGATTGTAGAGTATCCCAACAGGATTCATGAATGTCCACTAACGGATACTCATAAAACTACAACAAATGAACGTTTAGTGGTCGCCAACTTTAAATGAATATTTCACTAGTATTGAGGTGAGATGAAAACTATTTCCGAATTACCCACGAATATTTAGTAAACTAAGAAGTTACTCGCTATGAAGTTAAAATCAATGTGAGGTGAAAAAAGATTTTACCAGGTAATTCTGTACAGGTTAGAATTATATATTGATGAAGTGGAGTGGAAATTGTAAAAGCTGAAACTTTTATCCCCTATTTGCAATATATTTATTAGGTAATTGGTTTACGGTACTTCCATTTATAAGCTTTTGGTCTAGTGTACAAACTATCGATACATGTTTCACCAACCCTATATTATGATTGATAAATTATTATTCGCTTGCTCCGTTCCCTATCGCTTTCGACTTGATTGTGTGCATTAAATACTATTTTTATTTGCAGTCTGATAACTTATGTATACAGATTCATGATCCTTCGAAACACACCAACATGTTTGCTTATGTGTTGTTTATATGATTGATATATGAAGTAATTTCTTGATTACCAACTTTTGTTTACTTCTAGCTCAGATATGTGACAATAAAAAATTATTAGATAGTTAGATATATCACACGATACATATTTCAATTATAAACTGTATCGCTTTTTGTCAAGAAACATAATACATTTTTAACAAGTTCCTTCTAGGATCCAACGCCTAAATATTCTTAGAGGCATTTCTGAAGGCCGAAAAAACAATCTGAGATAATATTGGTAACTATAATACCAAAATTTGTAAACTGAAATTGTTATGACGGACGGTGTCTGAAATCGGATACTAATGCATGACGTACTACGCCCCAACTACCCGACTGACTCCTTGAGCAAGAACAGAAGGGTGGACGAGCTACCGAATAAAATGCACAAATACTTATGACTGGATACCAGATCATAAGGTTACATGCGTCCCGGACTAACTGCTATTCGGAACTGTCTCAATCGTTGATCAAGGTAAATTGTTGTCAGTCAGGATGTCGATGGTCAAGGATAAGTTTGTTAGCATATAAGTGAAAAGTATACTTAAATTAGAGCATTACAAATCGATTTTGTATTGGCAGATATCTCACATGTATAAAGACATTAAGGACATGACACGTATTATCACAGCCGAATGGATACGAGTATGTAACTTGAAGTTCTCAAGGTCCGTTTTTTGAAACAGTTTTCTTGAGTTTGTAGTACCTCCTATTCCTGAAGTAAAAAAAATTTATCAATAAGATATATTTTACCACACACCACTAAAACGAATCACTATAAACCGATGAACAAATGCAAAGGAACTTAATGTCTGTTAGGAAGAGTTGTACTAAATTTTTAAAAAATTCTAAAAACTTGTTACATTTATAATATTAATTGTTTGGCTGTCATTTTGTAGTTTGCTTCTGTTCATCGTAAATGCTAAGTGATAATTAGCTAATTGGAATTTTATGAAAATACACTGAGTTCATTGTATATAATACAAATAAATACGTAATTGTACATAAAAGTGAATGATTTATGCATTATTATTGACTGATAGTTTTAAGAAATCTGTTGTATAATCCCAAAGTTGACTAGCTAGATGAAGATCGAGTGAATTAGCAGGCCAATCAATAGGTGTACAATTGTTATACAGCATACCGCTACCAGATGTCTCAGTTAAAATAGTTTGAGCATAATTATTATGATGAATAGGAACTTGATCACTAACTGCACAATGAACAATCGTTTGGCAACCCTCTGAAGGAGATTTCAAGAGTAGTTGCATTAAACCACGGATGAAACGCTGAGTGAGTGGTGAGTATTTTATCAAAGTATTTCGAAATAAATTAGTATTTACCATCCCTCCGGTAAATAAACAATAAACATCAAGTATTTTATTATCACCTGAACCATACCTCTGATGAAGTTCGCGTGAAAATAAATTGCAAGCCAGTTTAGAATCAGAATAAGCTTTATTGGAATTTAAATCTGATGTAGTATTGTACGGTTGAAACAAATTTTCTGTCGAGAACGTTCCCTTTTTGGATAAAGAGGAGCTTACAACAATCACACGAGGATAAATAGATGTTTCATGATATGATTTTCGAAGGTAAGGTAAAAGCAGTGAAGTCAGGAAAAAATGTCCAACATAATTAGTAGCCAAAGTAACATTGATATCTTGGTAATATATAGCAGGACGAAGAATCTTAGGAAACGCACCGGCGTTATTGATCAAAACATGAACAGGTAAAGGTAAAAATTGTACAAACTCCTTAATCGTTTGTGGATTCTCCAAGTCCAAAAGTCTAAGAGAAATGTTATGATTACCAGTGAGAGATGTAATTTCTTCTTTAACCTTAATGGCAGTGTTCATATTTCTGAAAATTGTAAACTATTACTGAAATAAACTGTTACTTACCTGCAACCTAACGTAAGTTTCCAATTCCTTTTGGCCAATTCAAATGCAGTTGCGCGACCAATACCGGAACTAGCACCAGTGATGACTGCATGTTGGCCGACAGGGGACAAACAATTGCAAAGTACCGTTTTTCTTCGAGTTAACCACCGCATCGTTAAGATGAAAACAGTACCAACAGTAGCACTAATTCCGAGTAACCACAGATCCATGTATATAGAAAGTAGGAAACTGGAGCACCATTGGAAGTGTATTCAAAATCATATTTCACATGGTAAAAAGCCTACTTTTAATGGAGATATAAATCTTCTTAATACAGTAATTTGAAAATAAATTTTAACAAAAACATATATAGATATTTCACAAGTCATTCGATATGTGTACATATTTAATGGTCCACATTGGTCCAGTAAATACGATTCAGTTGTACAAGTAAAAGAACCAAACAGATCCTTCACGTCACATGTTAATATAGAACAACTTTCGTCATCAAAAGCACAGTTATAAATGTTGATAAGGATTCAAAGAAAGTTAAACGATTACCTACAGGTACACCTAAGTACTAAACGTATTCAGAAAAAAATGTTAAACATACAAAAACAAATGAGGCTGGCAATGCATTCAAAGACAAATATTTACAAACAAGTTTATTAGAAAGAGTTGATGTTGAATATGTAAATAGCTCACATCTGTATAGGGCAAAGGGCGATGACGTTGTCCAGAATCCGAATGAAAGCTTTTCAATCGAATTATTTGGCTCAGAGAACACAATACCACCAAAAACATAATTACCAACTTGAGTCACATTGTAAAAGAACAAAGTGTATGGTTTAAAAATACAGTCAATTTTATCATTTCTCCTTGCTTATTTTCCAATGTAGCTGCATGAATTGGAGTTGAAACAGTCCTTACCAATATTCATTTACGCTAATTCCTGCGCTGTTTACATTTACAGCTACCCACCATCTCCAAACAGCCTGAATGGAACATTGATATAGCGTCCCACTCAACTCTAATTGAAGTTCGAAAAGTTACAGCTAATCTGAAACGTGAGAGGGAAACTGGTCCAGTTTTAGCGATTAGGTTGACTAATATTTTAGCTAAAACCTGATAACTGGATGAAACCCCATGTGACTCGTCGCAATCACTGATTGTTCCAATATATAAGGGGTCATAATCATCCTGTGATACCCATAGAGGGATTAATTCAACTTTTATTTATTTATTTATTTTAACACATAGATATTGGTAAAAGGAGGCACCAAATACATATGCGCCACACAAATCTCATTCGATATGTGTGAGGGCTGTGATACTGCTCGGGTGCCCAAACCGAAGCATGCGGTTTTCTTAGGGGGCCACTCCCCGAGCCTTCAACCTGAAGGTCTGATCCACAAGGCAGTGGAGCATCGTAAGGAGATGCAGTCCGATGGAAGCCGGTGACCAACGATTGGTTCATACGCCATTTGTTCCTTCAGGATACTGGAGCCCATGTGCACCATTGGTTTGGAATCCGGTTAAAGCACCGGACATTCGTTTTTCGTCCTCTCATTTTTGTAAACACCCTCGCCACGAGAAGGCAGTGAGTAGGACTTCCCTGGCAGAGGCTATATACGCGTGACCATGTGAGAGCATTTCGAGAGGGATAGCTGACTCTCCCCACTCTCGGCCGTTCCACGGCATTTGGAGGCATTAATTCAACTAATAAAGCATCTAAAATACTATCCTCAATAATGATCGGACGCCTAACAAAGACTTGAGAACTGTAAACACGAGAAAATCAGGCTTGCTGCAGACCTGGTCGTGGCTGCATCGACCACATATTCACCATTCGCCAGATCTTGGGACACAGGCGTGCTTATTGGCGTCCGACAATGATAGCTCTTCTTGAATTAAAGGCAGCATTCGCCTCTATAGACTAAAAGGTTCAGTAGGCAGTGCCTGTCACTGAAAGGCACATCTCAGAAGTACGTACACCTTGTGAAACCTCTTTACTCAAACAATACCAGTCGAGTCAGAGCTTATGGTAAACTGCCATTTGATTCAGCAGCCTCAAGTGGTGTCCGACAAGACAGTTCACTATCTCCATTTTCGTTCAACTTCATCATAGACCCACAGCTGAAAATAACGTTCACGTCGACTGAATTTCCGAGCATTGGTCTCCTGCCAGGACGTTTACTTATCGACTTAGAATACGCAGATAACATAGTCTTGTTTGGTGAAGACACTGACAAAATGCAGATTCTTTTGGTAGCACTAAGCAACAATGCCAGAATGTTTGGAATGCGCTTCTCTCCCTCTAAATGCAAGTTGTTACTTCAGGACTGGTCTGCGTCGACAACTGAACTAACGACAGAGAGTAAAGTAGCCGAACGCGTCGACAACTTCACTTATCTTGGAAGTCTGATCAGCCCTAATGGGTTGGTGTCTGACGAAATCTCAGCACGGATTCGAAAAGCTCGCTTGGCTTTTGCCAACTTGCGTCACCTATGGCGAAGGCGAGATATCCGTCTATCAATAAAAGGACGAGTATACTGCGCGGCAGTCCTTTCTGTTTTACTTTACGGCAGCGAAACATGGCCATTGGGAGTAGAAGACACTCGTAAGCTATTAGTATTTGACCACAGATGCCTTAGAAATATTGCTGGCATCTGCTAGGATCACCGGATGAGTAATAGTGAGGTTAGACGCAGGGTATTAGGAAATGACGGTGAATCAGTCGATAAGGTTGTGAATCTTCATCGACTGAGATGGTTGAACCACGTGTTGCATATTACCGCCGCGTGCAATGCTGATTAGTGCTGGGGATGGTTGGAAAAGAGTTAGGGGCGGCCAAACCAGAACTTGGCATCAGTCCTTGAAGTCACTAACTTCTGGTCTGAGTCATGTTGGTAGATGCAGACTACTTGGTTGGGGTCCGCGTGACCTTTGTAACCAGTAGTTGGAGACTCTTGGTGACATGGCTCAGAATCGATCACAATGGCGTAGGTGTATACACCATTTGTCTTTTCTTAAACCGTGAGATTAAAATTACTTTATGCCTTTCTTTCTACGAACTAATTCTTTCTCCCCGTATCACATCCTTTTACGCTGTATTATATATATTACTGCCATTGAAGTAACTACTTTTATGAATTTTTCATCTTGTGCTATTGAGGTATGGCAACTTGGACTGATGCATAAATGTATCTAGTCAGTCAGTCAGTCAGTCAGTCAGCTACAACGTAGGACCAGGCACATATGTGCATCGGTCCAGGTTGCCATACCGCATCAGTACAACAAGATGAACACCGGATTCACAGCAGTGGTTAGGTCAAAGGTGGTAATATATAAGAGAAAGATTGCCTATAGAGATATAGTACAAGAAGAAAGAATTGGTTCGTAGAAAGAAAGATATGAAGTGATTTTAATCTCTTAGTTTAAGGGAAGACAGGGAGTGTATACACTGACGCCATTGTGAACGATTCTGAGCCATGTCACCAAGAGTCTCCAACCATTGGTTACGATAGTCACGCGGACCCCAACCAAGTAGTCAGCATCTACCAACATGGCTCAGACTAGAAGTTAGTGTCTTCAAGCACTGATGCCACGTTTTGGTTTGGCCGCCCCTAACTTTCTTCCAACCATCTCCAATACCGGGTAGCATTGCACGTCGTGGTAATCGGTGTTCAGGCATACGTAACACGTGGCCCAATCATCTCAGTCGATGAAGATTCACAACCTCATCAACTGATTTACCATCATTTCCTAATACCCTGCGTCTAACCTCACTATTACTCATCCGGTGATCCTAGCAGATGCCAGCAATATTTCTAAGGCATCTGTGGTCAAATACTAATAGCTTACGAGTGTCTTCTACTCCCAATGGCCATGTTTCGCTGCCGTAAAGTAAAACAGAAAGGACTGCCGCGCAGTATACTCGTCCTTTTATTGATAGACGGATATCTCGTCTTCGCCATAGGTGACGCAAGTTGGCAAAAGCCAAGCGAGCTTTTCGAATCCGTGCTGAGATTTCGTCAGACACCAACCCATTAGGGCTGGTCAGACTTCCAAGATAAGTGAAGTTGTCGACGCGTTCGGCTACTTTACTCTCTGTCGTTAGTTCAGTTGTCGACGCAGACCAGTCCTGAAGTAACAACTTGCATTTAGAGGGAGAGAAGCGCATTCCAAACATTCTGGCATTGTTGCTTAGTGCTACCAAAAGAATCTGCATTTTGTCAGTGTCTTCACCAAACAGGACTAAGTCATCTGCGTATTCTAAGTCGATAAGTGGACCTCCTGGATGGAGATCAATACCCGAGAATTCAGTCGACGAGAAAGTTATTTCCATCAGTAGATCTATGATGAAGTTAAACAAAAATGGGGAAAGTGGACAGCCTTGACGGACACCACTTGAGGTTGCAAAAGTAGATGACAGTTCGCCATAAGCTCTGACTCGACTAGTAGTGTTCGAGTAAAGAGCCTTCACAAGGTTTATGTACTTCTGTGGTACGCCTTTCAATGACAGAAACTGCCACAGAATCTCGCGGTCTACCGAGTCAAATGCTGCTTTTAAGTCGAGAAAGACCACCATTGTCGGACGCCGATAAGTATGCCTGTGTTCTAGAATCTGACGAATGGTGAATATGTGGTCGATGCAGCCACGACCAGGTCTGAAGCCAGCTTGAGTCTCTCGTGTTTGCAGTTCACGAGTCTTAGTTAGGCGTCTGATAATTATCGAAGCTAGTATTTTAGATACTATATTAGTTAAACTAATCCCTCTGTGGTTGTCACAGGATGATTTTGACCCTTTCTTATATATTGGGACGATAAGTGATTGTGACCAGTTAGATGGGATAACGTCTAACTCCCAGATCCTAGCTAAAATATTAGTCAACCTAATCGCTAAAATTGGGCCACCATCCTTAAAGACCTCTGGAGCCAGTCCATCTGGACCAGCTGCCCTTTTCTCGTTTCAGATTAACTATAGCCTTTTGAACTTCAGCAAGAGTTGGGGGACCTACTTCAATGTTCCATTCACACTGTCTGGGAATGGAGGGTAGTTGTAGAGTAGCTGAAGGCCAGTTGAACTGTTCCGCCCATCGTTCTAAACGTCTGGACTGGGAGCAGATGAGAGTATCGTCTTTTTCCGATATAATCTCACTGACACTTGACTTATTAATTCCAGTTTCTTTTATTAGTCTGTAAAGCTGTCTTGTGTTCCCTATAGTCGCCGCCTTTCCCATCTCTTTTGCTTTCATTGCCCACCACTGCTCACGGTCGTTTCTTAGACTTTTTCTTAACCTAGATCTGATTTGTTGTCGCTCTTCATCATGTTCGGAACCTGATGGGACGAGTTTACGAGAATCCATCAGTGTGATAGACTTTGAAGAAATCCACTGGTTCTTTGTAGCCCTGCGGTTTAAGTCACTAATAGATGTCACTGTTGTTTCCACAGCTGTTTGTATGGCTTTCCAAGCAACAACTGGGTCAGCCTCGTTTTCAGAACTACCTAATCGTGACCTCAGTTGTTCCTGGAACCTACTTTTGGTTTCCTCGCTACTCAGTTCGGTTCGAATGGGTCTTTTTACTGTGGCTTTTTTGCGTCCAGTGAGGCGCAAGCAGATGCGTGCCCGTATTAGGGCGTGGTCGGAGTCCAAGCAGGTACTCCAGAATGAGCGACAATCTTCTACCGACCCTCTCCAACGATGACTGATGGCAATATGGTCTATTTGAGTCCATCGTTGGTTTGGTGTAGGGGGTCGCCATGTTAGACGATGTCTCTCCTTATGCTTAAAATTTGTGTTTGCTAAAAATAAGCGATTGTCTGAGCACAGTTGCAGCAGACGGTCACCATTATCTGTTCGCTGTGCCGGAATGCTAAAATATCCACCTAAATGCCTTTCTGTTTGGTTTAAGCTACCTATCTGAGCATTAAAGTCACCCCCTATGAGTACTATGTCTAAGCGTTTAGCTTTCTGAAGAAGTTCAGAAAGCTTTCTGTAAAATTCATCTTTCACATCATCTGAGCTGCAGTCAGTGGGAGCGTAGGCAGAAACGACGAAAAGGCGACGACGTGTATCCCTATCCTTCCGAGTTCTTACGGAGCCGTTTAACCGAACAGCACATAGACGACTGTTGACGGGGATCCACTCTAACAGTGCTTGTTCCGCCCTCATGCTTAGTGCTATGCCTACACCTGCCAGTCCACGAGAACTGGCCATCGGGTCACCAGATACACGGAGGGTGTATCTCGTTGGCTCTCCGTTTTGCCGAGGTGAGGTCAAGTGAATAACCACACTTGAATCCTGTGTGCGTGTTTCGGAGACACAGCATACATCAATGGAAAGAGACTCTAGGGTTTTAGCCAAGGAAGCCTGCTGACCGATTTGACATAGGGTGAGTACGTTGAAGGCTCCAATGTGTAGTTTGGAGCGAGGTTTCAGTAGACCTGGGGCAGGGTTTTGAACACTAGAATCGTTGGCTATGGTGACACTTGAGGAGGAAGCCGAAAGAGGAAGTTTAGAGTGGAAAGCCGATGTAGGAGGAATAATAGGAATTGAAGAGGAAGGTTGATTATGAATACAGTGGTCTTGGGTGCTGTTAGAGGTATGAGGGCGGTTATCACTTCCCGGTTGCCCACACCGAGGAAGGGTTCTTCTGGAGGTACCTGAAAAGGAAATTGGATTAGAGGTGGTCTCAGTGACCTGAGAGCGTGACCGCAGTGCCCAAGGGACAACTGCTTGAGGCCGGTCGCGCACGGCCTTTTCGTGGGAGGTTTTTGACGTGTTAGCTCCGTTCTTCAAAGGGCCTTACCGCCGGAGACGGAAATCCGTGAGGTAAGGTGAGGTGTGCATTTTTAGGGTCGACCTTTTCTAACCCAACCCCTCCTTGTGGGAAGGCAGCATCGCTGTCATGCTGGTTGTCTGAAGAAAACACCTTACTGCTGTCACACCTCTGTACAGTCAGCAGTACGACTTCGCCTTCGGACCTTGGGTTTGTTGCTTTTGGTCTTACCGCTCTTCAACCGACTTGTCTGACATGGTAGGACCTTGAGGAACGGTTGTTCCAGCCAGTATAGCTCGGTTGCTTCACCACGATAGGCAAGCCCGACCACCACGTCAAGGTAGCAACAACGGTCGGGAATGTATCTAGTCCTACGTTGTAGCTGACTGACACGGGTATAAGATAGTGGAATGGTCCGTTTTTTGTTTGTGTAAAGACGCAGACATTCTTTTCAGTTAAGTGATTTTATCTGATTATTGGTATATTTTCCGTTTTGATATTAAGTTATGATACAGTAGCAGCCATACTTCGCAATCACACATTTGAGAGGAGTTACGGTATCGTGATTCTACTGTAATACACACTTAAGTACAACCACGTCCTGACATGAAAAATAACAGGAGCTGGTGAGTAAAACTTGAATTATCTGTATGAAGGAAAAGAAAATGCTATTAGCTCCACTTAGCGACTTGTATGGTTTTAAGAAAGGAGCAACAGGTCGTTTAGTAATCCATGGGTTTGTAGGGAAATTTACATATGTAACGAGTGCTGGAAATGAACGTTGTTTAAACCATTCGCAATCGTATATTAACATTACTTATATAAATAATAAGCTCTCAGCTATACCAATGTTTGTATAATTTTAGTTCTTACATGATTCACATTAATTCATACAGACAAACATCAACATAGAACCTGGCAGATGTGACGTTGGTCGAAGTCCCCGTATCTGATCAACATGACGATATGAAACTGACAAAATATATCGAAATTATATAGTGGCAACGATAAAACAAGACTAAACCTTCAGAGTACCCTTTGAGAAGAAAGAGTGGAGAGGTACGTATGACGGGACACTGGGATTTAAGATTTAGCGGAAGGTGAAGAGTGAATTTGTCTCGTTGTGAATGATTAAGAATTGTGTCACCCTAATTCTCCAACAGCTGATCTGAGTTATCGTACTGACTACAACCAGGTAGTCTGTATCTAGAAACATGTTTCACACCAACAGTGAATCACTTCATGAAGTGATGTCAAGTTTTGGTCTAGCTGTCGACAGCTGAGGATTCTTAGCTTTTTTAAACCTACTTGTGCACTACCAGGCATCGTTCATCGATGTAGTTGGTAATTAGACGCATGTAACATCCTAAACACCTTAGTCAATTAATATTTACAACCTCATCAGACGATTTGCTACTCCTGTCAAGTGTCCTATGTCTAACATCAACATCGCTTACGTGGTCATTTCATGAAACGCAAGCAGTGCATCGAAGACACCTATGATCAAGGACATTCAGCCTATACATGTCTTTTACCTTCACATAACATATTGCTCATGACAATGAAGTATAACAGTGTGGACTGCTGAGAAGCAAACATTACCTTTGGTCTGCATAGGGCAACCGGGCTTTCTGAATTCGAGCCGAGATTTCGTCAGATAATAACCTAGAAAAAGAAAGCTTCCACAATAAGTGAAATGGTCGACGCACCCAATTACTTCACTCCTTATTGCTAGTCCAAGCGTTAAAGCAGACCAGTACCAAAGAAATATTTTACGTTTGGATGGAAAGAAACATATCCCAAACATGCTAGCATTGTTACTTAATGCGATCAAAAGACAATCTCGTGAAAATCATCACTAAGTAGGACTATAGTATATGAGTGTTCTAAGTCTATAGGTTAGCATCCTTGAAAGAGACCGACCTCTGACAAGTCAGGTGACATGTTGTTTCAAGTTTCTAATGGGATATAGATTGGGTTAAAGCATATTTCCTAAAGAATAACGTTATATAACACTGATTAGTCCATTTACAATTTATTAGAGCTAATTGGATAAACTAAATAATTCTAAAAACTTTTTATTTGAAAACTAAAAATATACTAACATCTTCTTTACCGGGAAATCAAACTGGCTTGCTGTTTTGTTGCGGAATGTAATTACGTCCTTATCCAACTCGGACTCTGAACGCTTCAGAGGTATCGCTCACTGATGGAGGTTGTGAGCACTTGAAGGTCAAACTGTCGCAAGGTGATTGGTGCGTCACACCGACAATTCGTGAAATTTTTCAGAAGCGGTCAAATCAAGACATTTTTAGATTTGAATTGAGTCCAGCCACACCGTGTCTGATAACGTTCATTCTTCAAGTAACGAAGACGATGCCATCGTGATGATGCATGATATAGGACGAATCTTCAATGATATTGTAGCGGTAAATAAATCCACAAAATAAATAGCCCTGTAAGTTTTCGACATTGGATGCTGACCATATGTTTTAGTGGACTCATCTAGCTGAATGCGCTCGGTCAGGCATCCGTACCAGATCACGTGTGGTAACGCCGTGCTCAACATCAACCGCAGTCGCTAGCCAGATTAGATCAGAGAATTCCGATATTTTGGTCATCGCCAAATACACTCTTCCAATCTCCTCGACTCTGTCCTTTGTTTTCTCTCGGTGGGTACAAATCATATTAGGTGTTGCTGGTAAAAGCGTTGTCAAACACTGAATACCTGTGTCATCTTCAATATTATGTTATCTCGAAGATTCACAAGTTAGTACAATTTTGAGACCTGTTTGGAAGAAGTACATAAGGTAATATGACTTCTGTGGTTAATAATTATTTTCTTAGTATACGCATACTGAGTACGTTATGTCAGTATGCAAAAAGAACAGTGATGATCCAACTCTAAAGTAATTTTTCGTGAGATATGTATGTACATATGGACGTAAACGCAGTTCGTCAGAGTCAGACGCTCGCGTTCAGGATGTAGATGATGATAGTAATCATCATTCTTCTGAAGAGCATACAACTTCTAACTCGCCAACACAACCTAGACAAAGGAGACAACGTCGGTCATCTACATATGCCTTACTTCAAATGAATTTATCCTTCAGGTCGAAATATTGCCATTGTCAATCTGGATTTTGGGTCCGGGCAGTAAATGGTGAGCTGAAAGTCACCTCTCTTAAAACCCTGCACAACCATCCTTGCACAGAAGGATATATTCCTGTCGACCCATCGAGACAACAGTTGACGTCAAGTGAACGCTTTTATTTAAGAACGCTTCTACTGAGTAATACACCAAGAGCGATATCGCCAAAATGCGTTCACAGTTATACCCAGGTTGTTGAACTCACATTGTAATTAATTGAGTTTATACATTAAAAATATCAATGACATCTTACAGCGTGTTCAAGAGAACACTGAACTAAAAATATTCAATGAAAATGGGAACATATCTATGATTTACTTCAGCTGAAGGGGGCAAATAGCTGTTTACCACGTGTTTCCGGAGGTAATATGTATTGATTCGACTCATCAGACCAACAAAGTTGGGTAAGTAACGATTGGTAATAAATATATCTTAAAGGTTTCCACTGTTCCAGCTAGTGGTGACTGATAGTCTTGGACAAGGGCAGACTGTTATGTATGCTCTCTACAGTCAAGAACGACGCGATGTCGAAAAACTATTGGAATGTTTTAAAGATATAATGTGCGGTACTTATGATACACGCACTTTCGTTATGGATTCGGCAGCGACCGAAATTTCAGCAGTGCAGCCTACGCACAGTCATTTTAACATAATACTTTGTTCATTCCATGTCTTAAGATCATTTTTCAGGAAAGTATGTGTTAGCTGTACAAATTATTTTCTGTAGTTCCGAAATCCTGATGTACGCTCGTTGGAGAAACAGTCAGACACCATCGCGCTTAGACTGTGTATTCACTAACGAAGAATTCCTAGTCGACAACCTCTCAATCCTGGCTCCTCTGGGAAAGAGCGATCATGCCGTCATAGCCTTCAGTTTTTTCATCAAAACTAAGCTAAGGTATCCCAACAATAATTTGCGTTGGAATTTTAAACGGCTGAATGTGCCAGCTTTACATGACTATCTACAACAGGTGGTTTGGGATGTTCACCCTCAACTCGATGTGGATGGTCATTGGGACTTCTTACTGCACACGCTCTTATGTGCTACAGACCATTCAGTTCCTCAAACGGTTCCCAAAAGCTGCAAGCCACCTACAGTAATCAAGAACCGTACCCTTCGCCTGCTAAGTCGCAAAAGACACTGTTGGGCGGAATACAAACGAACTAATAATGATGGAGCGTATAGGCAATATAAACATATCAGGAACATATGCACGAAGGCTATAAGAGAAGACAGGCTTCAGTACCAAACAAAGCTTATGGACAAGTTCGCCTCTAACCCTAGAAGCCTATTCCGTTACGCAGCCTCTCTTCGTCAAGCCAAAACAGGAGTTTCTCAACTGCTAGGTCTTAACGGCCCGACCAACAATGATGGCGACGCCGCTAACCTTCTGGCGGCACATTACTCTCAAACATTTCAACCGGCTGACATCAACTTTATTGACGACAGTTTCATCTGCAATTCCACAGGACTTTCTGAAGTGGACCTAAGCGCTGACTTGGTGTTCCGGAAACTGCAGCACTTAAGACTTGACACTTCTCCTGGCCCGGATATGGTTCATCCTGCCATACTGAGGGAGGCAGCCTCAATCCTGGCAACGCCGCTTAGCGTGATGTTTTCACACTCGCTTAGCCGAGGCAAATTACCGGAAAATTGGAAGTTGGCTCACATCACACCAATTTTCAAAGGTGGTCGACGCAATGAACCTTCAAGTTACCGGCCGGTAGCTCTTCTGTCGTTACCTTCAAAACTCATGGAGTCCCTGATATGCGACGGTTTAAATGACTATCTACTGTCCTTAAATTTCTTCTCACCCCAACAGCATGGTTTCAGGAAGGGTTACTCTTGTATAACCAACCTGCTGACTGTGGTGGACAGATGGACAAGCATCCTCGATCGCAAGGGAAAGGTTGATGTCATTTACCTTGATTTCTCAAAAGCTTTTGATAAGGTTAACCACTTGTGTCTTATCAACAAGCTCAAACGACTAGGTATCAAACCACCTCTAATCGACTGGCTTACTTCATACCTAAAAAATCGACACTTTAAGGTTAGGGTTAATTTCACTTTATCTCAAGCTATGGAATGTCCTAGTGGGGTCCCCCAGGGCTCAGTACTAGGGCCTCTTCTCTTCTTGATCTACATAAATGATCTTCCTCAACAGGTAACGTCAGACTTATTACTTTTTGCCGACGACGTGAAACTTTGGAGAGAGATACGCAACCAAGACGATATACAGGCACTTCAAGAGGATCTGACTCGACCTCAAAGTTGGGCAGACGATAACGGACTTACCTTTAACACTTCAAAGTGTAAAGTAGTCTATCTGCGACATGTCGCAAACTACAGTTACAACTTAGGAAACTCCTCTCTAGTAGTATCCCAAGTCGAAAAAGATTTAGGAGTCCTGGTGCCCCATGACTTAAAGTCTTACGCTAACTGTGGCAAAAATGCCTTCCGAGCAAACCTTGCACTGGTAACGTTGAGGCGCATTTTTGGCCAGTTTGACGGAAGAACTTTCCACACAATCTTCAATAGTTTCATCCGTCCACATTTAGAGTACGGAAACATAGTACTCCCCCCCTCACTCCAAAAGGACAAGGTCACTTTGGAGCGTATCCAACGGCGAGCCACGAAATCAGTTCGAGGACTCAAATCTAAGCCTTACGAAGAACGCCTCCGTTCACTAGACCTTTACCCACTAGAATACAGGCGTCTTAGAGGTGATTTATTAATGGCTTATAGTATTCTTAACACTTCTGGACATCCTCTTAAACACCTACTTAAGCTTAGTTCGAATAATAACCTAAGGGGTAACACCCAGAAACTGGAAACACAACATAACAAGACGGAATGTAGACACAACTTCTACTCCTTAAGAGTTGTCAAAAGCTGGAACTCGCTGCCGGCCGAGCTAGTCCAAGCGACTTCTCAGGAGTCCTTCAAGAGGCAACTTGACCTATTCTTAAGGACCAAGGACAGCATCACACTATGATTTACCAATTTCTTTTCCTCTTTTATTGTTAACATACCTAGGTTCCTGCCTGGAGGATTTGGTGATCCCCTGCTACTAGACACGGAAGCCTGTTAAGCGAGAGCTTCTTCCATTCCGTCCACAACTATTTGAACCATTTGAACGCAAATGCTTGGCACACCCTGCGAAGACTAAACGGACTGATATGTGAGCTTCGCTTTTCATAACGCATTATACTCAGATTTACTCGAAAGTACGAACATCTAAGGACGCATTTCCCACGGGCGTATGATTACATAAAAGAATACTGGATTGCCCGGAAGTTAATGTGGGCTCGCTGTTACCAGCGACATGTATTAAGCCTGGGCAACCACACAAACAACCATGTCGAAAGTGCTCATAAACACCTAAAAGAATGTCTCAGAAGAGATGATTTTCTGTTATTGACATTCTGGAAAATTTGGAGTAAAACAGACATTGACCTACGTTTGGGTCCATATGACGCTGTAAAGGACCTTCAACGTTTTCCAATTCTTCAGGTAAGAAATATAGTTAAATGTATCATTAATTCCAGGTTCCAATGTCATTTCGAACTCTTTTAAATGAGTTCACATCTTTTGCAGCTAAAATTGCAGCTGTAAATTATAAACGTGTTCGGACAATGAAACACGAATTTATAGAAGGAGAATACATCCGGTGCTACTGTAAGGGTATGATGTATGTTGTTGATACTTCACGTGCACGATGTGCTTGTGAGAGTTTCAATGACTACATGCTGCCCTGTGGTCATATTCTGTATGCACATTCTAAAGATCTGATTTGTGGAGGTATGTGTGTGTTCCTTTATCTCTATAAGTTTTGTTTCGACATAGCAACCGGTGGACAAGGAACTACATAATGGACCTGGTTCTTCGTGCGCTGGACAACATGTCAATCTCTACAGGGAGTGATGATCTGTTAGAGAAGTTCACTAACAACTACTACTCAATCCACGCTCTT